TGTGAAAAAATTGGTAAGCTGAGGGGGGGTCATGCGATTTTTAAATCGTGCTTCCCAAATCCCACCAGCCCCCCCTCCCTCATAAAAAATGAACGGTCCCTTATTAAGCGAAAACTAGTGAGTGTCCCAAGGGTCTCCCCTTAATACAGATTTCACTGTAGACATATAAATATGTCCGTCTCGAATTATAAATAATCACTTTCAAATCTATTGATATGTTGTATGAAATTAACCTTTTATTCATTATTTACTTCGTGGTGGAAATGAATGACGCAGTACCAGAAACGTGTTTCCTTTAGAAGATCTTCAAGATCTTCAAGATCCTACACTGAATGTAGCACAATATTAACTGCAGTTTATGTAGCAAATTAACAGAATTTGAATAAAATATGTTAGTTTAAAAGCGCAATCATCTTTCCAACAACCGGTTCCCTTACTCCACCTTCGCACCACTACAAAAATTTGTAAAACTAGTTGAGGCACTTTTGTTTCGTTACCTTCTTTATTTCTAACAAAGGCATCTGCGTGATCATAAATGCAAGTTTGGGGATAGCCTCAACTATTTTGCAAGTAGGTTAAGGTGGCTTGCTGGCACAAGTGTTACATATCTCCATGACAACAAACTGAAGTGACAAACTAACGAATACTCACCCTGTTTCCGTCGGTAAATAATAATTGTTGTCAAGGCGGAAATGCAGAGATGATCTCGTAAATTGTTTTTTAATATCTCTAGTATGATGTCTGAAAATGTTAGTTTGATTTGGCAATGACTGATCTCCGTTAAAGGTTCTTTAAACTGCATTGTACTTCTCTAAAAACACATTTTATCGATCACTCTTTTCTTTACAGGCTTAGTAAGGTAGTTAGTTTTACTTTCGGATGAGGAGCCATTTTAAAGTCGGTATTCTTCTTCTTCTTCTTCTTCTTCTTCTTATTATTATTATTATTGTTATTATTTATTATTATCTTTTAGCTTATAAACCTCATCGGCTATAAGCTTTAGATACCGAACAGCCATTAAAATTCAGTCAGTTCTCGTGGACAGGATCTTGATTTAAAAAAAAAAAAAAACGTCAGTGAACAGAGTTTTGCTAGTAGTACGAGGAAAAAAGAGAATGTTCGGGTTTCATAACAAGCCGATTTTCTTTAAAAAACTAAACCCAAAGTAATTACCCAACCAATCACAAAGCACACAATGGACACAGACAATCCAAAGAACCAATCAAAACTTGAAGCAAGTGCATGTAGCTGACGCGAAGGGCGGGAAACACGCGAGCGCACCGCTAGTTTTACTTCAGACTGGATGACAAAGTGGTGCGAATGTTTGAAGCCAATCGTTTAGCGTTATCATTCAAAACCAAAGCAAATGCGAATTTACTTGGACAGTCAAGTGAAAACCACTCTATATCGATAGTTATTTAACATATGATTTGTATCATATTCAAGGTGGTCTCTTCAAAGTAGTGGTTAAAGTAAATACTGGACTCAAACCTGATCTCAAATGAGCCGCACGAACCAATTAAAACTCTAAGATAAATTTTCTCTTTAATCCAGGTTATGGAAGACAAAACTACAGAAAGGAATCCGCCATAGTGTGGAGATAGATGAAGCAGTTTATCCGTTCCGTTGTAGTTACTCCCTTTTATGCGCTGTTAATAGTTTTCTTTTCCAAACTTGAGGGCCATTACGTGATCTTCATCAGCACCCCACCTCTGTCCCACCCACTTTAAGATCTGCCGCATGGACCTGAACTTATATCACACGCCCTTTCAAGGGGGATTTAATCAGAAGTTTTCAATATAACACACTAAACACCTATCCGATATCATAACGGAAAGCTGAAGTGAAGTTTGCACGCAAAACACTTTAAGTACATACTAGTTAAATCTAGAACCCCTGCCCTGTCACGTTATATGCAGTTTTGCTTTAACATCCTTTATTTCTGAGTTCTCGTACGTCAAATCGATCCATAGAAAAAACTTAGCCCCAAAAAGTTCTGTATGGTCATAAAAAGAAGAGCATTTGGTATAACAATAGATAGATGTATGCTGAAATAAGAATATAAGAGTTTATTGGCCTAGGAAGATTATACTGCGGCCGGATGGGAATCATGGCAGAGTACAACCGCAAGGATTGTGGAGGAATAAAACGGTATAAACCTACTCAAACGTTAGCTTTCCCCCACTAAGACAATATTAAAAGAATTGGGACTGAGTGAATTTAGGTTAAGTCATGTTTTGCACCATATTATGGATACGGTACAATAGCGCACTGCGTTATATCATGTCCCCTAGAGTTGATTATATTGTTTGAAAGTTCAGCGTCAATCAAAGCTATACTGCATGAATCTGAAAGAAAAAAAAACACTAAGTGCATTCTGGGTTCTTGGACTCCTGCTGCGTTCTTAGTCTTGAACTACTGGCAGTTTATATTTGACAGTGGAACTACGCAGAAAATGGTGCTTTAATTTTCAACAAATTTTCGAATTACATCCGTATTATTTCGCTATTTGTAATTATTTTGTACTAAAGCCCTCTCTATATTTTATTTCTTTTCTTCGCTCTCATAATTTTATTTACTTACAAGGTTAACTAGATTTAACATGGTTTTATTATCTCATGCGTAGCTTACAATGCTTCATAAATCAGTTTTAAATATTTAAAAAAATGTAATAGTTAATTCTGAGCTTGTAGTAGTCTAGTTTGCCAAGGCTCCTTTGAAAACAGAGGCAGCTCTGATACTGACTTGGCTACCCAAGCTCAAGATCTAAGTCTCTTGCTTGGCTTATATAAATAATTAAACGTGTCTATACTTATCATTGGATGTTTAAGTTTCGTGCGCGAAAACTAGAGTGCACTGGGCAAACTGGGCCTCAGCAGGGCAACACGTCGAAACTTTCCTTGCCTTCTGTTAGAATTTGCAAATTATACTTGCTCATGATTTGTTTGACCTGTCGGGATACGCTATAAGCTACTTAGTCATTACTGACCGGGAGTTTGAAATTTTAAAACATTCAGTCTCCAGTTTTGTACAGGCGAATTTGAAAAATCATCTCGGCTTTACCATACCTCGCTGGCCACATCCCTTGAAAACAAATGGGAGAAAGCATGCAGTTTAAACTTTCCTTTTCCTGTTATGTATGTTCAGTTTCGTACGAACAGCTGGGCCCCAGCTGGGCTACACGTGCAAACTTTGCTTGAGTAATGCCAGAATTTGTAAATTATACTTGCATAGGATCCGTTTGACCTATCCGGATACTCTTTACTTAGTCAATACTGACTGGGAGTTTGAAATTTTGAAAGACACTCTCATGTTTTGTGCAGGCGAATAATAAACTCGGCTGTACCTTACCTCGCTGACTATCCTTTGAAAACAAATGGGAGGGAGTATAGTAAATTTGAAAGTAAATTTATGAAATCGATCCCTCATGAACGGAAAAAGTTGGAAGTGACTGAAAGTGAAGCTGTTGTAAGTTTTGCCTCATGGCTACCCACTCGCAAGCATTAGGTCATGTTGAAAAGTCCATGATAGCACAGCCATTCAAATTCACTTATTTGAAATAGATCAGGGCTGGTTAATTGACTGGCCACAAACTTAGTTTAGATGAAGATGGCTGAAGAAAGGACTGACACTCAAAACGTCAGCAGTCGATGTGCCATATCGAACAAAATAACTGTTTTCACTTTCCCACCCACGCAGCATAACAGTATTCTAAGAAGGTCATCTCTTGAGCAGTTTGAAAAATAAACTGCTAATCAATAACAGAACAAGCCTAAAAGAGAAGACTAGTGCTTAATCAGTTTAACTTGAATTGAAAATACTCCTTCTTTTGTAAGTCGTTGGTAATAAATCTTTAGTAAACCTTGGACCGACTAATCCTAGCATGCGGTTTACCAAAGCTAACAGGGAGTATGAACTGCGAGAAAAACAAGCCTGTGCATGTTGCGCATGCGCATGACACTTTCTTTCTTATAGTTTCTTTCTTCAAAGAAGACAAAGCTAATTTCTCGCTGACAGTTTTCAATAGTTGTTATATCCACCCGAAGCAATTAAGTTCCCCCTTAAAGCAGTTTCTTTGTTCGGTCAATTTTACACTGCATTTAAATTCTCTCCGCAGGCAAAGTTTAAGTTAGGCTTGCGTCTCCTCTTCAGATTGTCAATTAATTATGTTGTAGGTAATCTTCTCCTAAGACACGTCATGATATCGCTGTATGTCAAACAGTTAAGTCAAACTCCAGCTTTCAGCTCCCGAAAAGTTCATAAAGGATTCTCCCCTCCAAATTCGCGTGTTTACAAGCGCAAGATTTCACATCTTCCACGGTTCTAAGATCTACCAAGAACTAAACTTGTGTTGCAACTTAAGCCGAATAATGTCTCCATTAGCACTTATATTGAGCGCATTAAACACAAAACAATGTCAAAATAGTGTCGGAAATTTTTCTTTATTTTTCTTTCCCCATTCTTCAATATATATAGTTCATCCAGCTTTGAACCATGAAATAAGGTAATACCACTAACTATTTTCCTTATAATACAAAGAATGATTTTAGCTGAGAAAAAGACCGGAATTAAAAGACAATATGTGCGATCGTTAAACTTACATAAACAAATGCAATTTGCGGTTTTCAAGTTGTGTTCATGAATTAATATCACTCGTCCGCACGCAACACAAACTTGCGTTGTTGATTTCAAGATCTAAACATGAAAATGGATATTATTTTTCCCCCTTTTTCTTGTTTGACTTTCTCATACATAGGAATGATTGGAAAGTTTTTTTCTGGATAAACTAGGACCCGAGAATAACTTTGTAAGATACTAAATACATAAAATTAAATTATCATAATCCAGACGTTATATATAAATTATGTTCTTGTCCTTAATTCATGTCTTTGTTCTATTTTGTATAGTCTATTTAATGCGGAGGCGAAAGTAAACTCTGCACGTCGAAGCTTCTTCTTCGTCCTGATTCGTGTTCAGGCGAACACTGTTCGATCGAAACGCAGTCGATCTCTCTGTCTCTGATTTCATCACGCTCGCGTTCTTCGTATCTCGGCGGAGTTGTCTCCCTTTGGGCGATCGTGCTCGGCTTTGCTTCTTCGCTGAAAAAGGCGAAGTAACGGTGAGGATCGGCCAGAAGTCGCTCGGATTTCAAATCCAACTTTAGACACGGCTTCCCAGCTCTTCTCCGGCGATAGTCTCCGTGCAAGAAGTCTTCGTAATACATGGGGCAAATCGTCCAGAAATGTCCCTTTCCATTTGGACTTCGACCAGCCTTGATGAAGCAATCGTTTAGCGACAGATTGTGTCGAATGCTGTTCCTCCAACCACTGCCTTTGGTCCTGAAGTACGGATAGCGTGTTAGGATGTAACTGTAAATGTCGCTTAGCACAAGCTTCTTCTCCGGAGAGCTGAGGATGGCTTCCGCGATGAGCCCAATGTAGGATTGACTTGGTTTCTCGTACGATCTAGCCAGGGAACTTCCAGAGGGTAGGAAGAAACCACAGCTTCCTAGGGAGGGTACAGTCGGCCAAAAGCTTGTGTACTCCAACGGGGTAACAGCTGGTGGAGGAGGAGGCCCGTGACAGTTCAATTTGGAGTGTGGTAGTCCCCACGAATACCACGGTCCGAGATCAAAGGCTGGTGGAACAGCGCTAGGCCACGTTACTGTACTAACGGACGGAACAGACGGAAAATAATCCGCACCTTTTTCGTAGTTTGAGACAGGACTAAACGCTGACATCTTCTTCTGTAAATGATTTCCTGAATAAGCAAAGACAGATAAGTCTTAATCCAACTGTGACAGTCAAGTGGCCTTCAAGTTGCTTCACAAAGCACTATAGCATTTTGCAAACGCGTTCCAGTTTATAAACGCTAGGCAAGCGTGTCACGTGACCGAGCCAATACGGCGACTTGTAAGCGGTCTTTTGTTCTTACGGTAGTGGTGGAGGATCGTGGGAACTGTAACATTACGACCACATGCGGAGAATATTTATAGCGTTTATATTTGAAGTGGGAACAAGAATGTGATCCCCGGGGTTGCACGCATGGGTAACCGAATTGACATCCCCGCTTTCAAAAAGAACATGGAGAAACACGTTTCCAACCTGATTTTGTGTTTTTAGCTTTTCCTAAGACGCAGATTAACACAACTGGAGTTTTTTGTGAATTGTTTTGGCCGACTTGCGTGTTTGTAGTCTTGGGCTGATTTTCCATTAATCCCCCCTCACGGCTAATCTATTTATCACCCGTAAGCAACATCGCTAAGCCGAATGCGATAAGTGCTTTAAAAAGTGTGTATATTTTGATCTTTTAGTTGGTTTTATCCATTTAATTAGTCCATTGTCTAGAGAATTACAAGTCTGCCAAGTAAATCCCGGAAACAAAGGGAAATTTTTTGGCACGTTTTGTTTGCCTTCATGGTTTGTAAGAAACACGATAACGTTATTTTTTCAGTCTACATTGTACTTCAAAATCCACACTTGTTCAACCTTCTTTGGAGCAGCGTTGTTACGTTTCCAAGGTTTCGTGCCCAGCTTACGGCAGTAACGTTGTTTAATATTAAACGTTAAAAATATTTCAGGCAGGGAATTACTTCATTATTAAGTTGTATATTATGAGACTGCACTCACATGTCAGAAATATTCCAATCCAGCTGCGAGCGAAAGTTAGGAGTGCTTTCACTTTTGTAGATATCGCCGCACGCAATTAGTGAGTGTTCTCAAAAGTGAACGTTTGATAAAATCGAAAAGTCAAAATTTTGTCAGAGTCGCAAAATCGAATGTAAACTTTCCTTAACTAGTGAAGAATCTAGCGGAAGAGGAAAATCAGAGCAAGGAATTAAAGAAGTCTAAAGACGTTCGTGAATGGATAAATGAAAACTCACGTACTCCGATAGAACTTTGTATGATATTGGTGGATAATTAAAGGCAATATTTAGTTGGTATCACAACACCATAAATTCAAAATATGTCACGGAAGTTTACACAAACTAAACAAATCGATAGCATTATCGCGAGTGTAATTACAGACTTGAAACTAAATAAACAGGTAATCTAAATGAGAAAATTCTGTCTGTCACCAAGAAAAAGTTCACGAAAGTCTTTTGAAGACAATTGCACTCCTTGAAACTCGTGAGATTATTTTAGAGTAGCGCTGTTGTGCTGTTTTGAAAATATTGGCTAAGAAGTAAGTGTGGGTTGCAAGTACGAGTATTTTAAATTCCGGAAACCTCTGGCAAATATTGCTCTCTTAAAGCTGAAATGGAAGTATTTTATAAAAGCTACCGGATATCGTAACTAAACTTAACAGCACATAAGATAAATTTGGCAGTGCAGTCAGAGAAATTCCACGGCTAGTTTATACTATGGCTATCAACTTTCTCTCTAAACGTGCTACACAAACTAGATTAAAGCTTGGTTTTGTTCAGAACCTTGTTCTTTCATAACTTAAGCTCTAAGAGGTATCATCCTGCCAGTTCTTCCCGCATTTCCAATATGTAATTATGCCGGAACACAGGTCACGAGAATGTCTCATCAAAAAGATTCTCCTGATAGTGCTGTTAGAAATATACAAAGACTGGTATAGAGAATTCGTATATTGACATGGAAAATTTGGAAAGGATCATGTAAAAAAGCCCAAATTTTCTCTTTTTGACAGTTTCAGAGTCAGGTGTTTCCATCGATTGCTAGAAAAATTTCTTTCTAATAAACTGATATGAAGCGGACCAGGAAGGGTCCCATGGGCTTCGAACAAACCTTCTTTCAAAAGGTCTTAAGACTATACCAACGGGATGTGATCCTTTTAACAACTTATCACAGGATTCCTCAAGAACTTTCCATAGCAGTACAGGGGTCCTAGGTTTCTCTTATTCTGGCAATATCTTAAAAAAAAGATAACATTTAGTTGAGTCCATACTTCAAATCTCTTATATTGATTTGTATTGAAGTTAAAATGCCATCGATTTATGTATCACATGCCAGCGTCATATCACTTAAAAGCCAACAAAAAACAGGCCATTAATATAATATTATAACTCAACTTCGTCCGTGCGATCTCTCAGTCTTAAGTCAAAACCCCGCATGGGGTGACGTTGGTCCACCGATGAGTTACGAACCAAAACAACTACACCTAGCTATAACGAAAGAACCATGCAGTGCTTCAGTCTCTCTCAAAACAGCGATCTGTTTTGAACGTAAACTGAACCAGTGTGGACGCGACCGAAGATCGTTCCATTGAAGAGCGAAAATTATAATTTACTGAGTTTAAATATATTCCTTACTTCATACCGGACAAAGCAGTACATTGTTCTGCTTGTATAATAAACTACATTTTTTAGTCGCCATTATTTCTGATCTATTCTCTAAGAACAAAAATACACATTCTATTTTCTATCTTAGTTATCAATTATTGGTTGATAAAAGTAACCAACCGAGACAACAGAGTTTTCGCTCCGTGCTCGGCTAGAATGGTTATCGAAAAGCCTGTTAAGGAACCTTCGATGAATGGAACTTAAAAACAAAGTAAATCAAGTGCTTCCACTTGCCTTTCTATACAGCACAACAATCTCTTAGAGAATCATTTCCGATGGACATTTATTAACCTGCGTCAAAAATAGACCAAGGGTCATGGCCCTAGTCAGAAATTTTTTTAAAACTATTTGTTGGTATTGAATTTGGGTCAGAATTTTGGCAGTTTTGAAAAGGAAATGGTTTTGTTGGTTGCTTTGTAACAGGAAAATAATGTTGAGGTTCTCGACAATTTGGAAAAGGACATTAAATTCTTAGAAGAATTACGTAGCATAAAAATTGTCAAGTCATCGCATTTTTCCTAATTGGGATGCGCAAATTTTTGTGCGACACTGAGGTTAGTTTGTTTTGGATACTGTTGCTATGCCACATTCACTTACTAAGTGCAGTAAGTAAACTAAGACATTACATGATAAGTTTTAATATCAAACAATTGTCCCATTGTCCGAGAGTAGGCGAGTTTTGACACATTCAAAATAAGGCAAATATAACAATGAAATCAAAGAGCACGAATGACTACCTTTCAAGAGTATTAGGAACGTTTTTCATAAAATAACGATCAAGACGACTCGAGAGATAAAAATGCTACAAACTGGAACTGCTGGTACAAAAATTAATAAACGAGCTGAATGGTTATATGCCCCGTAATCTCAAAACGGCTGAGGGAATTTGCTTTCTCCACTTTCATGGAAATTTTATGGAAGTTAACACATGTGTACAAATATCGCTGAAAACCTGCAGATTGAAACACAAAGTGCCTTAAATCGTGGCTCCTACGACATTATGTTTTTTAAAAGTCAAAGCTGCTCAGATTGTAAAAATCTTTGACTTTGAAAATCTTTGAAAATCCTTCAAGAAAGTGAATTATTCACTCTGTCCAAAGATCAGAACAGTAAAAAACTGAAACTTATCATTCTAGAAAATAGTGTGCAATGACCTTTTGAAGCAATACATAATCTACATTTACTACGAATATCATTTAAAATTTGCGCGGTTGGAAGATAATACATTCACTTTTTAATCAGAGGCAGGGTCCAAGCGGACACCGAACAAAATGTTTCGTGTCTTAGTTGTTATCTAAACCGAATTAAACTAATATGTACATGTTTATTCAAAACACCTGCCTCACTGATAAGGTAAAGAACTGAAATTGGTTCACGGCATGGATCTAAACGGACGTGGTGAACTATGTATGAAGTTTACGTCATTTAAACGGAATCTAAACTAAAATTGGAAGACATCTTTTGATACTACTTCATTTTATTCTCTCAAAACTATTCAAACAAATAGTAAAATTTGTTAACAGCTAGTATCATGATTTCGTCATGGATCAGGAATTATGATATTTTTTTTTTTATAGAATGCTATTTAAACCTCAAGCGGCAAACGGCGAAACCTCAAACGAAAATCGTGAGGAGCAGTTGTGACCCAACTTAAATGTAATGTTTTTTCTCCTTAATTCAATTTTACAGTAGTTTCATTGTTCGTGGAAAAGAACAATTAATAAATAAAATACAAAATGTATAATTGGAAAAAATATTCTTAAGAATGACTTTCAATATTGTAGAAAACTGTTTTCTTGTTACTTTGAGGGCGTTTGATAATTTATCGCCGCGGTTTGTTCTTTTTAGATTAAAGTTAAGACATTTTCATTCTTCAGTACACTAAAAAGCTACTGCAGTAAGAATATCATTTTGCTTAAATTTGTCGTCCTCAACAGAGAAACACAAATTTTCTCATGAAAGGTGTAAATAAAACAAATTTTAGATCCGTTAATCGACTTTATGCTAACGTTTTATGTTAATTACCAGAGTTGGTTAGAACGATGTCTCTATATATCTAGTCTTATTCATTGCCTGTGCGAGATGCTTTCAAAAGCCGTTTAAAAAAGCTCTTGTCAAATTTTCTCGATTAGAAATATATCCACCAAAACCTGGCATTTTGTATTTGTATATTGACTTTTAAAGCAGTAAGAAATTTGTACTCAAACAAACACTGTTATCGTGTAAGTGTTATTTTTGGAACGGAAGTTAAAGAAAGATAAATATCGCTAAAAATTCTTTGCTCGCTGAATCTTCACGCGAATTACAAACGACAAAGAAATATAATTAATTTTAAAAGAGAGTCTGCACAAATCTATAAATACGAAGTAAACGTGAATAAATCTCTAGACTGAGGAACGCGTCTGGATAGGATGGGTTCTGTATATAGAAATTATGTACCCATCCCTTCAGTTCTTTGAAAATTGATCAAATTACACTTGTAGTGACTTTCTGCTTCAAACTGTCAATTCAAAAAGAGAATCGGTGTTAAGTGTCTGTAACACAATGTCGATCGTTGGTGAAGACATTTGACTTTCGTAGTAACAGATATTTGGCTTTAGAAAATAAATAGTCCTGAGTTACCCGATAGTGGCTTTTCACCTTAAAGTAAATCAAACTTACAACAGTCTTAAAGTTGGTCATAGTTTGATTTCGTTGTTGTACACGGTATTTGAATTGTAGTCGGCGATGACGTTAACGCTCTCCTTCGGTCTCTTGTCCCTTTTTAAGTGTTCTTTTCTTTGTCGTTTAAGATAATTGGGTTTTAGATTTTTCCCATCCATATTTTTCTAGAAAATAACATTCAGTCACTGTTCAAGTTAAAAACTGATTAGTACAACGAGATATAAAAAAATGAAAACTCAATAACATGAGTTTAATTTCAGTCGTAAAT